GAGAGAGAGAGAGAGAGAGAGAGAGAGAGAGAGAGAGAGAGAGAGAGAGAGAGAGAGAGAGAGAGAGAGAGAGAGAGAGAGAGAGAGAGATTGCCACGCTGTACAGGGGCCGATTCTGACACGTGCCTTGTCGTTTCGTCTTTGCCTTATGTCTTCCAGCAGGCAATGATCCAAGATGCTCGCCCAGCAATACGGCCGCTGGAATGTTTCGTGACAGGACCTGCTTAACAACCAATGGCACTTTTATTGTTGACGGCAACTCTCTACAACTACCCCCGAGCGACTTTCAATCACACTCACACTGTCTCGGCTCACAGAACGGAGACTTACACACACACCCAGGAGGGTTGGTGTGAGTGAAGTCAAGCACGCCACTTTTCTCTCAGAGCGGTATCGCTAATCGCTAGCTTGGGGTAACGTGGAGAGGGTCCTTATCCATCAAGAAAATGGACGTTGGACAGACAGTCGTTGTTCAACCTCCTGATGAGCTCTGTTCTTTCACGTGCAAAATGTTCCTTGCGAAAACTTCCTTTGCTTTTGCCGGTGGAGCCGCGAAAGGTAATCTAGTCCAGATATAAGCACATGTACAGAACAACCTCATCCTGAATTGCCAGGGGGCGATCAGCTCTATCATCATATCTCCAGGCTTTTTCCTTTAAGGGAAAACAAGAAAAAGAAAAAGAAAAAGAAAAAGAAAAAGAAAAAGAAAAAGAAAAAGAAAAAGAAAAGGAAAAGAAAAGGAAAAAGAAAAAGAAAAAGAAAGTTTTTAAGAAATGGTAAATGAAGATTCTCCCATCAAGGCAGTCGTCCTTTCTCAAAACGAAAGACCATCTTGAAAAAAAAAAAAAAAAAAAAAAAGGTAAAGACCTCAAAGAATTCAAACATTGCTAAAGAACATTGGTTAAATGCATATCTTGCCGACCAGTCGTTGTAAACTCCGAGTTTAATAATAATACCCCTTTGACCAGGTAGGTTAGGACAAAGGTGAAGCGATTTGGACAAACGAAAAATCAATTGGACAATCATCAAACCGAATTGGTCAGTTCGATTTTCCTATTTAGTTCATGATCGGAACCGATTTGGGCAGTCGATACAGGTTGGGATAAGTGATGAGCATTTTGGACACATCAGATTTAGGTTGGGATAAACGATGAGCATTTTGGACAGAATGATTTAACAGTTTGGACGCATGACAGAGTTAGGCAGATTGATTTAACAAATTAGTATTACCGAAACCCCATTTCGTACAGCAGTCAACCGATTTGAGATTCTGTGGACACCATCGGGACGAACAAAAATATCAATTTAGTGAAGCGATTTTGCATGTTAGTCACATGCGTCTGAATCACGGGACTGCTGCTCCCGAATCACGGCCTGCTGCACCCGTAAACTGTCGACCTAGAACTTCGCCCCCATTAGCTTTGCCGAAGTTTCGTGTCACCTCTCTAATCCATCCTTGGCAGTGATCCGCAAAAGACCCCGGTTGATTGCATCAATCAGATTCCCCTGCCCCCCAAGTTCCTCACGACAAACACGGCTCTTGACATTGCCTCCTCTCCTCTTGGTCGTCTCTTGAGTCATAAGCCTCGAACGCTTGTGCACAGTACTGCGTGGAAAGCCATAGCGTACTGCAGTCTCTGCAAACGTTTTGCCTTCAACGAAGATAGACTCGATGATCTTTCGCCTCTGAACATCGTCAATGCGGTTGTACCTGCCTCTCCTGCCTCTAGCGGGCATACTGTATTGGGCACGTGAACGCGCAAGGCACGCGAACGCACAATCGTGACCGCACAAGGCCAGTGGTTCGATGCTCGACGGAAGTGAATGCACGGTGATGGATGCAG